TCAATTGAAATTTTTGAATTACGCTTCTTCAGTATCGCTAGTTCGCCAAAACGAAACCCAATTGCTTTAGTCTTTGTACGTCTTATTTAAACCCTTTGAAATTATGAACGTCCACCTAATGATACAGCTTTCTCGGAAAGCCACGTTGTTATATAATAATGCAAACATCAGGTTGCCTGCGACTTCTTGAGTTGCAAGATCTGTTACCAAATTAAACAGCAGCAGCCTTTTAATGTTGGGCACTAATGCACTTCTACATTTACTTAAAGTCTGAAATCTGTATAGCGTAATAATAAGACGTGTTGAGGATTTGTTAAATGAGCGCTTCTGAGAGTCCAATAGTGTTATATGTTCAATGTTTGATCCAATGTTTCATACATTTTTCGGTGACTGATTGATGTATAATCTTTATCACCTTCACAAAATTTATATTTCGAAGAAGTTTTTCTTTCCGATTTTTGTGAAGTGGAAATGTAACTATGTTAGCGCTTGACCAAATCCTTCACATATTAATCAAAGAGTGATTGAATATAATGCGTCAGGCCGAAACTCAAAACAAGTTGTTAGGGCCTATTAAGTAAGTAAAACTTAGTATAACTTTCAACTCCTTTTGTGAACTTTTTTTAGCAGCAATACAATTGGAACAGCTTCTTTGAAGTAGAAATTTTAAACGCAGACGCAGAAAAAGTCAGTTTTGGCAATACCAAATAAGTATTGCGCTGGTTCGATCCAATTTCTTAAGTTTGAAACTCTTACTCAACGATGGTTTTGTGCCATCGCAGAACACTCAAGAATATAATTGAGAAAATAACTGACTAACTGATCGGTTTTAAATCTCAAATGATTATATAGCTATAGTATTAATTTCTACAAAAATATGTGGTGATATCTTTTTCGTCATGGTTTTCAAATTACTACATCCTGAAATTTTTTAACACCGATTATTAATGTTGTACGAAGTTTTTTATACTAATTTAGGTTGGAAAAAATTTGTGATAATAACCACTGAGTAACTATTCCAGTTAAATCTATTTATATTTAATAAATTTCGATTTTAATAGCTAATTAGAAAATCACATCAATATTTTAATTTTCAAAGTATTATGAAATAAAAATCTAATACCACATTACAACCTAATTAAACATTAAATGAAAGGATAAACATTTGCTTAATTACTTAAATTCTATTTAATACTCGACGTTAAAGTTTTATTGACTACAACAAATTGTTTTGTTATTAAAATTTTATTGCAGCCCATAAAAGTGCTAATAAAATGAATTAACAACAAATTTGAATATTACTTAACAATTTTGACACTTAAAATGCGTATCCTTATTACGAAATAACAATCCTTAAGAAGTTACACAAGGATATCAGCGCACAGTCGAACTGAGTTAATTTGCAAATGTTAATGAACGAATGAACGAGTGAAGGAAAATACAAGCGGAAACCCGGATTTCTACAACCAACAATGACTCCGAATGTATGCAAGGACATTAAGTGGAACTCAAGGCAATAAATTTCACAAATTAATTCATTGAAATGTACAAGATTTTGGGATGTAAGTTCGGTAAATTCATTTACTGCCGCTACTGTTCTTGCATGCGTGGGTGTACAGGCCTGCCTTTGTCTGTAACTGGAAACGTAGAATTGGAAAAGTATTGATTGGAGTCGGGGTGGTACCGTATAACCGTACACCCGTGGATGGCTGAAAGTGCTGCGTGTGCGTGAAGGATTTGTGCGTGAATGCCAATTTTGTGCTAATTACTGATGTAAAATCAATTTTATTTATTGGATGATTGCGTGCCAAAGTTAATATGTAATTTTAAGTTTACACATGCGTGCACGAAAATGCTTTCATCTTTTTGAACAGAATTTTTACAATTTTATCATAATTTCTCGCAAATAAAATTATTCCTTAAGATTTTCTGTTCTTCGAGCTAACATATGTCGAACAACCTTTTGCTGTGCTTCAGTTAATTACACATTTTATGATATGACTTAATTGATGAGCTACAGTATGTGAAAATATGTGTAAGATACTGAATAAGTGATTTAAATCAGTTAAATTAAGAAATACTATCTGCCATTACAGACGTGAGTCATCCTTGGCCGCGTCGAATAGCCTTCGCCAGTCAACCCGATTAGTAGCTTGCTGTCGCTAGTTGGTAGTACCGAATACCCTCAAATCGTTGGTCACCTGCTGCTTCCACCGAAGAAGCGGACTTCTTCGTTTTCCACCTGCGGATACCGAATCAAACAACTTTTATAAACGGAGCAGTTTTTTCTATTCGCACGTATAATTTATAGTGATACTAATAACTCAATAAAAATAACAATTAGTCACTAAAGATCAAGTGACCAATGGAAAATAAAAACTATGTGTACATTGCGCTGTAAAGAAAAAAAAATGTATTAAATATACCTTATATAGGCCATGTGCGAGTTAGAGTAAATTGATGGTAATTGATTGAAATAATAAATTATGTCGGTATGGCAACGAATGTTGGTATTCCCCAGAATTTCGAATAGGGTAAATTAGATAAAAATTAAGTAAATTAGGTGTTACCATTGTGAAAATTTTATTAGATGTTTAATAAATAAAAAAATTTAAAAACTTTTAACTAAAAATAATAAATAAGTGCAAAAAATAAATAAATAAATGTTTACATAAGTGCTAAAATTCCTTGAGAATTTTAGTCGGTCATAATACTTATTAGTTTAAAAAATTTTTAAATAAAAAATGTATCAATGTATCAAAAATGTATATCAATTGAGACATCTATCTACACAATAATTACGCTATTCAACATACCAATACTTCAAGCAGATAATGTTGTCTATATAAGTACATACTTGAATAGAAGACTTATCAGTCTTCAAACTTCAACAGTCAATCAATACTAACCATTCTACGGGTGATCTTTATTAACTTAAGAGTATAAGGTACTATTCTACAGAAGTGCGACTAAATCAATTTGGATATATGGTGTCTCATTAATAGTCAATGTTAATTCAACAAGTATTGAAATCTTGCCAAGAGTACAGTCAAAAATATTAGAAGTAAGGGAGAAACTATTAGTAGAATCCAAAATAAAGAAAAAATTTCAATAAAAGACATTGTAAAGTTTCCGCATTTAGCACAAATCAGAAAATTTGTTATTCTTACTGAACACTATCTTTTAAGACTTCCAGACCAACATGTCATAACATGTCTATAGCTATTGTAATTCGATTTGGTAATGCACAAAAGTTTTTTCATTTATATGTAGGCTTATAAATACAAAAGGTAGTTCATATATAATCTGAATCTAGAAATTTTCATCTCGTCTGGCTGCAAAGAAAATTAATTCTGAAAAGGCAATTCAATTTGGTTCGGCACAAAAAAAGTGCTTCGAAACGTACATTCAAATGCATGTATTATAAATATTGCAAATATAATTTATAATTCTCGTTTAGTTCTATTGAGTATTATTATATATAGACAAAAAATATTTCTATAAGGTGTTATTTTAATAAAGTTTGTAGATGGTTATTGAAAATTCAATGTATCATATTCGTGGTAAAGTATTTGATTCAATTTAAGAAATTTGCGCTAAAGGATTGTAAAATATGAAGAAGAAATTTGAATCATGCATTTGTGAAGTTGAGAGCGTATGTTTGACCTATGCCTGATTAAACAAAATTTAAGCAAGGATTTGTATGTCAAATTTCAAATATATGGCCTATGAATACGATAATGCATCCACGGTTGCCACTTGAAAATTTTTTTCTGTACCAAAATTGGTTTAAAAAGGTACCATTTCTGTAAAAAAAGGTCCAAAATTTTTCTATTGTCTTTTTATAAGAAAATACAATTTATATAAAATGTACAAAAAGTATAAAACAGTACAATATCCACAATAAAGTTGGGTCGCCGAAAATGTACCATTTTTTGAACATGAGTACCAGAGTACCAAACGGAAAAAAAAGTACCAATTTTGGTACTAAAGTACCATAAGTGGCAACCGTGAATGCATCTTATCATAAATGTCCCATTTGATATTGATTTATTTATTTCTTTTGTTCTTGCATAATTTAAACTAAATGATGTCTAATAACTTTGTGTGGCCCCCTCCAATTTAAGTTTATAATAGTTCATCGAAGCCGTTGAAGAAAGGTCGTTCAAGAACAAGTAGTTTTACTACTTGTTAGTGTGTTAATATCTGTTCAATAGATGTGGGAAGGCAGTCCAAGTCAGTTGACAGTCCAAGACTAAATTATTCACCTAGTATGTAATGACAAATTAATAGAGATTTGATATTCTATATCTTAGCTTAAGCTGTGTTTTCATATAGCCAGATTTGCTGTCTTAGCGAAAGTGGTTTCATACTAATTAGTGTATCAATGCATAAACGTTTATGTGTTATAAAATTGTAGTGTTAGTGACTATGGCGTTTGCTACTATGTCTTTTGCATAACTTATCTGAATTTCCAATTTTTAGTGGTTTTCCTTGTGTTGGTTATATGTAGTATCTCAATAATAACATTTGACGATGTTCTGTTTGTGTATTTTATACGTTTCGACTGAATTCTCAATACATTTTTAATAAAGTTTCAAAAAATTCTCATCATGCATTGCTTATTCACTCTGAAGCTGTCGATAAATACAAATTTTATAACAATTTTATATGCAGATTAGGAATTTAGCTTTACACATTTGCTGCTTTAAATGCTTGGAATCGCTTGAAGTGCTCAAAAAAATATAGAAATGCATAGGACGGACATCAAACAAGCAACAAATGTGCTGAAAATTTAAAAAAAATTTCTTATTCTACGAATAATAAAAGCTGAATTATCTAAAAGGTTCTAAAATAAAATTGATTCCCAAAAGATTCATAAAAGCTTGTGAATACGAATTAAAATCATTAAAATCTTAAAATTCAAGGAGCAGTAAAAATGCATAGCAAGAAATTTCATTTTTATCCTTCAATCCATTATTTAATAATTTTGATATATATAAAAAATATATATACATACATATTTTAAATTTTGTGACATGAACACAGAAGGATTTTTCTTATAATCTTCTTTTGTGGAGTAATATTTATTGCTTTATTTGAAATTCTTCCAGCTCTCTGGGTAAATAAGGACCCTTATCTTCTGCAAAAATCAATCTTAGTACTTCTTCGAACTCTGGCACAGCACTGTTGATAGCACAACTCCGAAAATGTTTAAACAATTTATTGAACTCTAAGAACAATAAATTTCGTTCTCTTATGGCCTCATGAAATTTATCGCTCTCAAACATACCTAAAGCTAGAAGATTATTAGTTTCCTTACGACGTTCCTCATTAGTTATAGAATATGCGGGAGCAATTTTCATAGTATGTGGTATACTCTGCTTAATTGCTTCAATTTGTTCGCAGAGAGATCGATCCATAACGCTTAAGAACGTTTTCCAGTTGAATAGTTTTTTTGCTTTTTTTCGATTCAAGCTCTTATACGGTATTAAAATATTTGACAGAGTTGGTTCTCTACATATTTCTTCTATATTTGTTGTCTCACAAGCTGTTGCGGTAGTCGATTTAGGAAGACATTTCCGATTTACTATATCACGCCGTGCTGAACGTGATACTTCAGTTCTTAGTGCGTCTGGCAATGCCAAAAAGTTATCAGGTAGAGCAGTGTTCAATACGTGTGGCGATTTAATGATGTCATCACTGCCAAAAGAACGGGGAATACCATTTGTTATATCTGGAACTCTATATGAGATTTTTTTTATGGCTATATCTGGGATTTCAGTTATTTCCAACTCTGAAGCATCCGAATCAGCAATTGTATAAGTTCTGCTATCGAAACTACTGTCAAACACCAGTTCGCAATCATTTTCAACACATTTGTCTATATGTTCATCACTACTAATCGAATATGTTCTGGTATCGAATTCCACCTTCGCTTTATTAGGGGATGTTGTTTCATATGATGGCGTTCTCTTTACTTCATTGACATCAACCGTGGCATTTAAGTCGGTTTCAATCGTTGATGTGATAGTTTCATACGACATTGTATCAACCAAATCATTTTGCAAAAACGGTGGCCTATGATTACAATCATCAATAGAACATAGATCTAAAGGACAACCGTTTCTCGCCAGAATGGGATCATAATCCTGTAATGTTTCGTTGTTGCAATTTTTTTGAAATAGCATATAAAACCATTGCAGAAACTCAAAATTATGCTGATAACTCCCAAGAACAAGCTTATTTTCTGGTATTAGTTTTGGAATTCGTAACTTCTCAAAGCCTGTTTGCAACAAATCAAAATTATGGCGATACTGGCACACATCATTCGTTCGAAACTTTACTTTCTTCAAAGGTATATTTCCTGGAAATAGCAATTCGAATAACTGGCAGTATGCAGCACCGCTACGCATTTGTTCTACTTCACCTAAATTGGTGCAGAGTATCTCGTTCACCCATTCTATAAGTTCATAACGAGAACTATTTTTATTGCCTTTACAGCTCCAGTAAATATTAACAGGTTTTTGATTATTCATCTGAAATAAAAATTTTATTATAATTAATATTTAATTAATGTAATAGGGAATAATTTTTGAAATGTTTTTATACGGTGTGTTTTCAATTCCTACAATTTCACTTGATGCTTTGATTCTTCACAATTTTTTTGAATCCCTCTCAATTGAATGCAATATGCCTAATGTCCTTATATGTAATTGTATGCCGATAAGGGCACAGCCAATGGAAAAAAGGAGTTACCCTCTTCTTTATATCAATGTGGTTATTCCCTTCTTAGATTTTGAAAATCCCAGTTAATTTTATCATTCTGTTACTGCAACGGATCTCGGAAATTAGAGAAAATTTGATGTGCCAAAAAAGGTATAATTTTAATTATTTTAAAATATTTAATAAAAAATGTTCTATATGAGAATATAAAGAATTATTAATAAATGCCAAATATGTTTGGCTACTGCGATAAATTAAAAAATCAAACTTTTTTTTTAATATGTAAGAGAGAAAGCATATATTTAAATATATGGTTTCTGAAGTTTTAATGAATTGATTTACTTTTAAGTATATTATTATTCATTTTTTTTTAATTTATAAAAATCGCATTTTCAAAAATATCATGCATTGGATATATCTAGATATATGCTTATTATATGGCATCGGTACTGAAGTATATGTATGTTTTACTAAAAGGTTTTGTCCAATGCCAAACAGCTAATTTCCATTAACAACAGATGACAGATTTTTTAGTTGATATACAATAAATGGGAATTAATTTGTCTATTGATAACTTTTCCTGGTTAGCTTAAGAGACTTCTGTAGAAATTGTGTAATCGATCGCAAGATCGGAATATAGCACCATTTTTCTGATATCCTATTAATATCCTACCCTATTGTTTAAGAATAGAAAACGAATACAAAGCACTACACTGCAACTATGGCTGATATTTTGTGTATTTAACAGACTTTAACTGAACGAAAGGCAATCCTCTCTTCAAATGAAAGCCAAAATGTCAACTGCGTACATCTTTATGTCTAATGGAGATAAGATATTTTGGTCCTATAATCTCCCCCTGGTTGAGATCATAGCCGGACGATCAAAGAAAATATAAATACAGGTCTCATTCGTCTCTAAACAGAATCGACATTTTGTTTGCACATAGATATCTATTTAATTCAGATAATAATAAAAACCCTGACAAGTCATTAGATAATCTATCAATAATCTTAACACTGTGTTACTGATGAGGGACACGGTACCGTAGTTGTACGATCAAACCACCGTTTTTCGGTTAAAAATAATTTTTGGTTTTTCAAATTTGCCATTTTAGACCAACTTATTCTACAATAGGGCTGTGACTTAATTATCTTTCTGGCAGAAAAAATAATAAACAAGATGAAACCCAAATATAAACACAGTATTACTGAAACTACTGGCATTAAGTCGATCATGTGAGTATTTTAAAGGTTTGCCACATAAGCTTCAATATATTAAACCAACTTAACTTTATGAATTCCGAAAAGACTTAATTGAATCTCAGAATTTTATACTCCCACTTTTATAATTAGTCGAAGTAAAACAACTGTTAAGTTTTAGTTTTTAAGTTTCTATTGTTTTTTTTTGGCGTTGTATTTTAATTTAATAAAATGCAAATGAAATACAGTAAGAACAGCAGGGTTTCTTCTATATCTCTTTTGTAACATGTGGTATAGCAAAATAACAATATATGCTTATTTACCACTAAGTAATCAGTGTAAACACATATGGCATCTTAGAGATACTTTTTCATTATTTTGTATTTATTCCACTTGCAGTGGAGCTGTTGCAATACTTCCAGTGTGTAGAATGCAGGCTGCGGTTGTTTGATTTCTTTGGCTTTTATTATTTTTTAGCAAGCATTTGTGCATATTGCATAGTTTATGTATCACATAAAAGTTCATAATATAAACGTATAACATAAACAAGAAAAATATCTTCAAATCTTCAAAAATGGTATAATTTTAATTATAAGGAATCAACATTATATGTAATGAAAGTCCTTTGTTATCTAAATGTTCCTTACCTCATTTGCCGCAAGTATTTCATGTAAAAATTTAATAACTTTTTTTCATATGGCACATGGCGGCTGATATTAAAAATTTAATAAAAATGCTTAAAGGTAAAACAAAAATCAACAAAACAAAAATATATTCGTATAAGAAAAGTATTTTGTATACAAAATAATGTAATAAACCCGCAGCAAAAAATTGAGTACCGAAAAATACAAAGAAATCTAAAGCGAAAGGACCACGTTATCCTGGCATACATGAGTATTTGATAAAAAATATTTTAGATATATATTAACAAATTTTGGCAACACGATTAGAAACATAAATACTTTAGAAACAGCATACTTTACATACTTCACATGGTGTACTCCTGCCTCTTTGATCCTGACTGTTGTGTATTTTTAATATTTCTGATGCAATTTCAATGTGTGGAAGGAGAAAGTAATGTAACTGACGAGGGGTAAAAATAAAATAAATTTTAAAATTTATAATTATTTAAGTACATAATGACGTGGAAAGAGATTTTGTATTCCAATAAAATGAATATAAACTTTTGTAAGGTATTTTTTTACATTTGTTTCAGATTTTAAATAAAAAAGTAACAACATTTGTTGAAATGAATTTTGAAATTTAAAAATTTAATGGGAATAGAAAATAAATGCTTTGACATTACATTATATTCAGACTAGTTGAGTCATTGCACTTGAGCACTTTTACTCTCTTGTAACTGCGAGGTTTCTTCATAACCCTTCTCTACGCCTTAACTGCATTATTATTTATTACTTCTTCAGACTAAACAATAACTGACCTCAGTTCTGCATATCTCCCCGAGGAGCCTGTAACCATTCTTGAGCACTTTTACTCTCTTGTAACTGCGAGGTTTCTTCATAACCCTTCTCTACGCCTTAACTGCATTATTATTTATCACTTCTTCAGACTAAATAATAACTAACCTCAGTTCTGCATATCTCCCCGAGGAGCCTGTAACCATTCTAAGATTCGATAATGCGGTGTTGGTAAGCCTGTCAGTTTTCGTAACTAATTTCAAGAAATAAAACATGAACCAATGGGTTTTATTTATTTTATCAAAACTGTAGATACCACATAGTTTGTTAAACTTTATGTCAACATAAATGACTACCTTATAATTTTTAAGATATTATTCGTAACGCATACCTTACTATATCTGTTGATATATTATATATATATCAGGATAATTGGATATATATCATCTATAAGCACAAATACAAGTTTTTTACTGTTAAAAATTGTTGTAAATATTCATTATGAATTCAATATATTCCTCAAAAAAAAAAAAAACGAATCCATCTTCACCCATAAATTTCGCACACCTTGTTTTTGAGCATTTGCCTGCCCTCAGTGGCATTCATCTAACTTTTTCCAAAAATTCAAAATTGAAAAACTTTACTCGTTAATATCATTTTCCTGTTTTTAAAAATTTTGTACATATTTCTATACAATCTAGAGTTTTACAAATATTTTTCCATAAACGTGTTTGCATATGTGCGAAGCAAATGACTTACCTGGAGTATGACGAAAAAATGCCATAAAAACTTTGGAAAGTACTTTGATTGTAGATTAAAAAATAATTCCATTATAAAATCATTTTTCGTCATTTCCTTCAATTTGTAAAGAAAAACTCAACTCATTACAAAAAAGTATAGCATATACTGAGTGCCGTGTTCAATATAGGATTTCAACTGCAAATACAGTACTGGTAGGAAAATATTGAGATAGAAATTTAAAAGATTTTTTTAAAGAACTGCAATTACAGTTCGATTTGAATATGGAAAAGGCGGTATAATAACTTCACAATAATTTAGTCTAATTGTTAGTACTTCAGTATCTTCTGTATAACATAAGAAGAATTGTGAGTGATTTAAAGTTCTTTTTGATAATTTCCAGCTTTTGTAATCTATCTTGTATCCTTAATCATTTACTGTATTAAGTATTATGATTAACATTTTTAATTTATTTTAATAAATTGAAAGAATATTTAAGATGAATATATTATTATATTATTAAATAATAGGCTATGAATGCATCCCAACCTAAAAGATCTATTGTGTGAATATTCTTGACTGCCGCATGCCTGTTTGGGCTCTCCAGTATTCAAATAGATTTTGTTTCTTCCGTTTACATAATAAGTTATTTGTGAAGCTATTTGTTACCCCGCAAAAGGGCTCTGGACCATTGAAAGGGTACATGCACCCTTCTTTGCTATGGAGACTGCTATTTCATTGCCCGGTACCCCCATAAGAGTAACATAGTTCCTCGATGCTAGTGTATTAAGAAGTTTAAAGCATTCCCAGACCAACTTTGATTGGAACGAAGAGTTTACTAAAGATTTTAGAGTTGTTTGGTTGTCCGAAAGAATGCTTCGGGTGCGCCTGCGTAGGCATTCTCTCGCACATAACTCTAAAGAAGATAATTATATTTGATTTGTGATAGTAATCGTATTCAAATACAATAGTTTCGCAACGCTCTTGGTTAAGAAAACAATTGTAATCTTAGTCATCTATATCTTTTTTTGAATGAATGACTTCATTGATGCATAAATATTAATTTATGGTATAATTTGAGCAAATATATTTGGCAAAGCACAATGGATACAGTATATCTGAGAGTTTTCATAAAAATATTTTAATTATAAATTAAAGTCAATATACAACTTTTCCATTACAACCACTATCTTATAACTACCCTTCGCTCACACCCTTCAGAGCACTGAACAGAATATCAAAAACAGTAACCCAGTGTACTGCAAATAGCGTGTGTGTGCTCCACGCAGCAAACACCAAAACCAATTTCGAAATCATAATAATAAATCTCAATTTATCTTAAAAACACGTACATATAAAAACACGTATATATTTAAATAAGCACACATAAGACTACATACTAACATGAACTGAGTCCAATGCGTATGGAAAGAATCCCATTAGTAAGGCGCGAAAATTCAAATTTATGCATAAAGTTGGCAATGAAAGCGAATGTAAAAAGTTGAGATTGGATTTTCTTCAATTTCATAAATATTTTTATATTTGTTTTTTTTTTTCTATTTCTTATGTATGCTTAATTTACTTAAGAATATACTAGATGTAAGTCATATGTATATACATATGTGCTGTGTTAGGCTATGTATTTTTATGGAAGTCAAAGTTACTTGCAAGATGAAGCTGTGCCGCAGCAAAAAAGATTAAAAAATATTGTTGTGAATAGAGTATTGGAAGCAAAACCAAGTGTTGCTCCCGGCATGATAAGTAATCATTTTTTGTACAGCATTTTAATCTGATGTTAACTCTGCAAAG